GTTATATCATTCACCATCTTCCATATTCTTTCCTTGATTTTCTCTTCCGATTCATATCGAAGTGGTGTATCGGTTCCGGTATCGAGCAGACAAATCACTCCCAGTGGCACAAGATTATTACCTTGGGTAAAAATACTAACGTTCATATATGCACGGTCAAATGGGGTACTACCACGTCCAATCATATCTTTTTTTTTAATTTCATGATTGAAGTTTTGTAAAAATGTCGTTTCCAGATCAAATGCATGCACTATCTCATTGCAAAAGAATTCATCATCTAAAAATATAACATCTTTGTTATATTTAAGGCAGTTCTCATGTTCGTCTATTAAGAGTACACGCGTTTCATCCTTAAGTATAAAGAAACCTAAAATATGAAAATAGTCTTCTTTCCCATTCGTGTATATTTGACTACGAGTGATAAATTGTCTATATTTACCATTAAGTGAGTCTTCGCAGATTGTATATGACTTGAATTTATCCTGGTGAATAGCTTGAATAACAGATCTTTGCTTACTATGATCTGTAAATCTAATTCGTAAATACTCTTTACCATCATTATGTTTAACTGTCGGGTAATCCTTTATCAAACTGGTCATCTTTACCCATGTGCCATTAGGATGTCTAGCATTTGTATACTCTATTGTTTTGATTAAAATATTACAATACTCTTTGGGATTTGGGTGATTGGGTGGTATGAGAATATCAAAAAACACCTTGAAGTTTGTAAACTTGACCCATGTTGTGATCCCATATATTTTATTCGTTACCTGTGCACGTAAAACATATAATCCCATTACTGGGTCGATCTCATCAATTATCTCTCCTATTGCATAGATATCTCCTGCTTTTAATCCCGTACTATTACCTAGATCTGGATATCTAAAACGTAATAGATCAAGTTTTGTTGAGATCTGATGAAAGAAACTCATAATCATAATATTGAAAGTGAGATAACTGATTATCATTTAAATTATAAACAAATATTTATTTATACAAAATATGATATTTGTGTAATATGTTATATTATTGATATTACTATGTTATAATTATAACTAGATACAAAGTTTCTTTGTGCTATTTTTAACAGCTTTGGACCTTGATTCAAAGCTATCATCATTGTTATTTTCTGTATTACCTTCATCAGATGAATATATCTCTTTATCATTATCTCTTACATTAAGTTTACGTTTTAGCCTATTATTTTTTTTAGTGATTCTATTTATTCTCTCATCAGTTTTCTTGCGTATAGTCCATTCGCTGTATACTTTGGAGAAATATGGAAATGCGTATTTATTAAGATATGTCAAACCAGAACAGAAGGATATAGACTT